TCTTTGGGTCCCTGTGTTGTCCAGGCTGGAGTGCAGTGGGGCAGTCATAGCTCACTGTAGCCTCAAACTCTGGTGCTCAAGTGATCTTCCCTCCTCAGCCTCCCAAGTAGCTGGGACTATAGGCAGGTGCCACCATACCCAGCTAATTTGTAAAAATTTTTTGTAGAGATGGAGGATGTTACTATGTTGCCCAGGCTAATCTTAAAACTCCTGGCTTCAAATAATCCTCCTTCTTTGGCCTCTCAAAGCACTTTTGCAAATTTTAGCTTCACAATTAGATGCTGTCCAGGATTCTAAGGAAAAAAAAAATTCTCCAGAATAGCATATACTCTTTAGGAGTGATAAAATCTAGCACAATGGAAGACTAATTTACATGTTGATATATATAGATGAATAAATCAATGAAGAGATGTCATGTCATATGCAAGATTTCTCTCTCCTTTCCAGGAGTTTAATCAATTCTCTTTCATAGTTATAAAATTCTGATTTCATAGGAACTTTGAAAATCCTAGAATTCATGGTTCTTTCCCATTCTTTATAGTCTTTTGGTTTATTCCTGTTCCTGGTTGTTCAAACTGGTCTAACTGTAAGTCTAGGGCAATGGTTCTCAACCAGGAGTGAGTTTTTCACCCCCATCTCTCAGGGGACATTTGCTAATGTCCAGGGACATTTTTAGTTGTCATCACTTGGGAGCGTGGTGATACCAGCCTCTAGTGGATAGAAGCAGGGATCCTGCAAAACATCCTACAGTGCACAGGACAGCCCCCTAGAACCAAGAATGACTGGATATCAATGAACCAGATATCAATATGTCAAGATTAAGAAACCCTTACCTAGACCTCCACTCTGGAACTACCTTGATGTCTTACTTTCCTAGTTCAGCCTCTTAGCTTCAACCTTCCTGTTGTACTTCAGAGCCAGTCTTTTGCCTTCATCCTAATTTCTCAAACTCTCCTGTCTTCATTAGACCAATGAACCTTTCCACCTGGCATCTTTGTTAATATTTTGCCTTCATTCTAACTAATTTCTCAAACTCTCCTGTTTTCATTAGACAAATGAAACTTTCCACTTGACATCTTTGTTAATCTGCAATCCTTGCTCATGTTCAGCTTGGGGAGAACATGGTGTGGGCCTAGTATAGCATAGTAATTAACTATTTGGGCTTTAGGTACTGACTGAGTCCGAATCCGAACTTCACCACTTACTTCCTGTATAATCATGGCCAAGTGTCTTATTCTCTATGTGTCTCTGTTCTCCTACCCTCAAAAATGTAAGTAAAAATGGTACCCTGCCATGGAGAACTGTAAGAGTCAAATGAGTTAATACTTGTAAAGCACCAAGTGCTTAATAAATGTTAGCTATTATCATCCTTCTCAAGAACCCATCAAGGTCCATGTCCTCTAACTTACTTCCTTCTCTGTACTCCACGTCTGGAAAGCAGGTGTATTTTACTCATGATGGCTTCTCTTAAATGTTTGCCTAAATTGTGAATGTTTTCCTTTACTCCAATGGCTAGGATTTTGGATGTGGAAAGGCAGGAAATACCCTATTTTTCTCTCTCAGGTTTGGCTGTCCATATCCCTTCCCTGAGCACTTTGTGGCATAAAGGCAGGAAGGGGGAAAAAGAGGGAATGAAAAATATTTTAAAGCATTTTTATGGATGACACACAATTCTTAGTCTATAGATGGAAACTGATGAGTGAAGTGATGAGAGGATGGATGCACTCTGGGCAGCTCCTAAGTTTCTGATGTGAGTGGCCATATGGAATGTGATGCTTTACACAGAGATGGGATTTGTAGAAATAAGACAGAGTTTAGGGACATGCTAATGAGTTTTACCTATGAGTTTGTGATAATTGTAGGAAATGGAAATACAGATGTCCAACAGAAAGCTGGGCTTGTGGATTTAATTTCAAGAAAGAGATTAGAGCTTGAGATGTGAAGTTAGGACTTTTTGGCAAATAAATGCTCATTGGGTCAATGAGAGTACAAAATCATCTATAAAAAGGAAGTAGTTTAGTCAGAAAAGCAGTTTCTGGATGGATGGATGGATGGATGGATGGATGGATGATAGATGGATGCATGATGGATGGATGGATGGATGGATGGATGGATGGATGATAGATGGATGGATGGATGGATGAGCAGAACAAGGAGGAAGAACTCATAAAGCAGCCAGAATGAAGCACCAGGATCAGACAGAAGGACGAAGACTAGGAGAGAATCAAGTGACAGAATAATACAAGGGAGTCAACAGAGTCTCGTGTCATAGAGAGGTCAGGTAAGATATAGACTGCAAAGTGTCCATTAGATATGCCAACACAGACAGGTCATTTTTGTCTTGGTGAAAACAGGTTCAATAGACCACAGGAAGTCAGAGGACAGATGGTAGAATGAGTGGAGAAATAGCATTTCAAATAAATTATAGAACTATATAGTCAAGAAATAACCTTCTTTAGATTTTTGTGATAGGCTTAATTTAGTCTTACCTTATTTCATGTGTAATTTTTTGGGTAAATAAGGAAAGACAGCAGTTGGATTGTTTGCTTAATTTGTTTACTTGAGATGACCAATGCATTAGTCCATTCTCACCCTGCTAATAAAGACACACCCGAGACTGGGTAATTTATAAAGGATAGAGGTTTAATTGACTCACAGTTCAGCATGGCTGGGGAGGCCTCAGGAAACTTACAATCATGGCAGAAGGGGAAGCAAATACATCCTTTTCACATGGCGACAGCAAGGATAAGTGCAGAGTGAAGGCAGGGAAAAGCCCCTTATAAAACCATCAGATCTCGTGAAAACTCAACTCACGATCATGAGAACAGCATGGAGGTCACCACCCCATGATTCAATTACCTCCCACCAGGTTCCTCCCACAACATGTGGTGATTATAGGAACTACAGTTTAAGATGAGATTTGAGTGGAGACATAGCCAAACCATATCAAACAACAATAATGCTTTGTATTATTCTGATTTTGAAACAAATAACACCAATCCAATATTGTATACTTACAACACTTTCCCCAAAGAATTGCTTTTCCTCAGGAACTCTTCCTTAGTGTCAGTTCGAGCCAACCTCATTTCCTGGACTTTTCTCATTAGTATACAAAAAGGAATGGGCTCAACCAGTATTTATTCGACAAGTATTTATTGTGTCTTGCTTTATGCCAGACACTGTTCTGAGTGTCTGGGTTAATTTCAGAGAATGTAACAGGCAACAGTCTTATGCTTGTAGCATTTATATTTAGAGATGTATACTTACAGGAAAATATTTAAATTATTTTTAAACATGGCCATTACATGGAGTATAGAATGACATCCATAAAGAAAGTTATAAATCAAAGACGGAATTAGAAAGTTTTAAATTCCTGTCTCTGCTACTTTCTTCTTTAGTACTAATAATGCCTACCACACCAGATTATTTTGAATATTGAATTTTTCAGAATAAAAGCAAGTATGTGAAGGTGAAATGGGAGAGTTTCCTGATCCCCCTTGCAGGACATGCGACAAGGATGTGGCTCACCCGTTCAGTCATCACCGCTCCTTGAACCCCTGCAGAGGGTGGGAGGGGTGCAGCATGCAGACAGACAGGTACGGGAGCCCAAGTGGGTGTGTGTCACAGTGTGCCCTTTTAGCCCTACCATCCACAGATGGCCTGAGTGTTAACCAGCTCAATGAACCCTCTGCCTTTTCACATGGGCCAAGGGCCAGTGTGACAGCTTTCTGTATCCTGAGCTCTTGCTCAGCGTTTCAGAAAAATCAGGTCACACACAGGCTTGAAGAATGAATGCAGGATTTTATTGGGTGGTGGAGGTAGCTTTCAGCAGGATGGATGGGGAACTGGAAGAAAGGATGGAGTGGGAAGATAATCTTTTCCTGGAGTTTGGTCATCCAGAGGCTGAACACTTCTCTGATCGCCCCCAGTCAAACTCCTCTCAGTGTTCAGACTTCTCTCCTCTTCTCTCTTTCTCTGCCCCATTGTTCTGCTATCCGTCTGCTTGTCTCCTCGTCTCCTCACCTGCTCATCTGCATTTGGAGCCTGGGGTTTGGGGTTTATATAGGTACAGGATAGGGGGCATGAAAACAGGCATGTCTCTCCCCTTTTAGGGTCACTGGTCTCCAGGCTTGAGGGTGTGGCCTTTGCCAGGGAACTGCCCTCTTCTACTCAGTACTGCCCTGTCTCCTCTCCATATCAAATGTACTTTTTAAAGTGAAAATTTCTGTGTTCGTTTAAGGGAGTGGCAATGAATCAACAGCAGCATCGTGTAACTATTAGATCACAGTAGTGATAGCCACCATAGTCAGTTACTTCAGTCTATACACCAATTCTCAAAAATCATTGAAATGTTTTTGGGGGAAAAAAATAAAGATGTTCTGCTTGAATTTTTCATCATAATTTTATATACAGCTTATATATATTATTTATATACAAATTTCATCAGAAGTATGTAAAATCACTCATTTCTATATGACAGGTGTTGTCGGGGATAAATTCATAAAGCCATTTATACTTTTAAATAAGCACTAAAAACAATTAGCTTTTATTTGTGGGGCAATACCATGTGATCCTAGATTGCATATTAAGCTGAATTAAGTTTCACAAATCTAATTTGTGAAACTGGGAGATGGAGATCTTGGAAAGTTTCTAGCCAGCTAGATATGAAAAATAGAAATGAACACTTCAAACCCCACTCTGTGTATTTAAGTTATTTTTCAAGGATCGGACTGGCAAGAGTGTTGTCTGTGGCAGGGTCCAAATAGATGCATGGGTTCTACTTTAAGAAATGCCTAAAGGCCAAAACTACAATCTAAAAAATAAACATGTATAGTTTGGTTGGGTTTTTCCTATTTTGATACTTTAAAACTGTGTTTTATGAATTGGATAAAACTGTGACCAAACTGTAGGATACTCTTCTTGAACATTGCATCCTATTCAGACATTTGAAAATGAATTTTTGTATAATTTTAATTATCCTGTCTGTTTTAATCTTTCAGATCACAAGGCTTATGGGCTTTCTGCCCCAAAAAATCAACAAGTAGTCACAGCAATAGAGTACCAAGGTACAGTATCTTACTGATTTTCACAGGCTGTATTGTTTATGACTCAGGACAGTTACTCATGTGATGTTATTTTCTATTGGTTGGGATTCTCTGCCTTACCTTACACTAATTCCTCTGCTTGAAATGCTGCTTCATGCTGACTCCACCTCAAGAACATTTTCTCTACCTTCTCAGTGGAAATTTTGCACATTGAATAAAAGACTGGATCTACAAAGAAGGTCCCTCGTTACTTAAATTATCTGCAATAAAGCAAATCTAATTTGTGAAACTGGGAGATGGAGATCTTGGAAAGTTTCTAGCCAGCTAGATATGAAAAATAGAAATGAACACTTCAAACCCCACTCTGTGTATTTAAGATGATATTAATATAGCTTACCTTGGATTGCCATTTTCTTACTTATTTAGCTTCTTTAAAATGTGTATAAAAAGGAGTTAAAGAGTATAAAGATTCTGTTTTGCAAGATAAAATAGTTCTGGAGATTGTTATATGCACATCAATATTCTTAATACTACTGAACTGTACAGTTAAAAATGATCAAGATAGTGAATTTTATGTTTATTTTGCCACATTTAAAAAATTGTCAAAAGAAACTTGTAACCTATATATGGGTTTTTTTAGTAAGTTTGTTGTTGTTGTTGTTTTTGTTTTATTTTGCTTTGTTTTGTTTGAGTCGGGGTCTCTGTCTGTCACCCAGACTGGAGTGGAGTGGCATGATCTCGGCTCACTGCAACCTCCACCTCCAGGGGTCAAGTGATCCTCCTACCTCAGCCACCTGAGTAGCTGGGACTACAGGCGCAGGACACCATGTTTGGCTAATTTTTTGTGGAAACAGGGTTTCACCATGTTGCCCAAGCTGGCCTTGAACTTCTGGGCTCAAGCAGTCTGCCTACCTTGGCCTCCCAAAGTATTGGGATTACAAGTGTGGGCCACCACGCCTGCCCTCTTAAGTTTATTTCAAATATTGACTATCTACTTCTTTTCCAAAGGATCCATTACCTTTTCTGCAACTAATAATTCTAGGCAATCAGAAGAATTACTATTTCTTAAATTTAATACTTGATTGGCCAGAGATTGTAGACATTTAAGAAACAGGTCCTAAATGTCTGATCTCTCATCACCAGGCATGTCTTAGGTTCCTGGAGCTGGAGAAAGATAGGTTTGAAGGAAAGAGACAAAGATTAAAGCAAAGGCCTGGAGTGGGGGGAATTAAATGAGTTAATATTTACATAGTGCTTTCAATAGTGCCTAATACATGATACAAATTACATGTGCTTGTTAAGTAAAAAATACACTGTAATAAGAATCAGTCCTGGCTGGGAGTGGTGGCTTGTGCCTGTAATCTCAAACTCCTGAAGCCAGCAGTTTGAGATTAACCTGGGAAATATGAAGACCCTGTCTCTATTAAAAAAAAAAAAAAAATCAGCCAGACATGTTGTCCCGGCTACTCAGGAGGCTGAGGCAGGTGGATGGATCACTTGAGTGCAGGAATTTGAGGCTGCAGTGAGCCACGATTATGCCAATGAACTCCAACCTGGGCAACAAAGTGAGATATTGTCTTTAAAAAAAAAAAATGACCAGGCACGGTGGCTCACACCTGTAATCCCAACACTTTGGGAGGCTGAGGCAGGTGGATTACCTGAGGTTAGGAGTTCTTGACCAGCCTGGCCAACATGGTGAAACCTATCTCTACTAAAAAAATTAGCCAGGCCTGGTAGCAGGCACCTGTAATCCCAGCTACTTGGGAGGCTGAGGCAATAGATCACTTGCACCTGGGAGGCGGAGGTTGCAGTGAGCCGAGATCACACTACTGTACTCCAGACCTAGCTGACAGACCAAGAGTCCATCTCAAAAAAAAAAAAAAAAAAAAAAAAAAAGTTCATCATTTAAAAACAAATGAATAACTTAATAACAAATTACTTAAACAATTATTAGGTTAACTACATTCTCTTAAGGTCTAATATTTTATATGCTTAAGCTATAGGACACTCTGTTATGAGTTAGTTTTAAATGGAGAGAGGTGGGAAGAGGAAATTAATGATTGAGGGAATCTGGGACTACAGAGCACTTCCAGGATGGAAAAACAGGGTGGGGTGAGATGCCAGAACGGAAGCTGGAAAGGCCACAAGGTGAGCACAGAGTGAGAGAGGGGAAAATGGACCGGGATGTCCCTGAGGAACAAAGGAAGCGAAGTTCAGTTCCCCTACTTCTCACTTACTCGGAGGTACTTAATGCTGGGTCCAGCTGGATACAATGGATGTATATCCTCTGCCATCATGTCTGAGTTAGGACATCAAAAGTATGTTCTTTAATCTTACATTATTTTAAAAACATGTATCAGGATGAATTTCACATAAACTGAAATCCATGGTTTTTAAGAGAACAATTCAGTTGCATTTGGTAAATTCACAGTATTGTGCAACCAGTATCTCTACCTAGTTCCAAAATATTTTCATCACTCCAAATCCCTGTACCCAGTTACATTACTTTTTAATGCATGTTTTATTTTTAATACAGAAAATCCCAAATCCTTCCATAATGTATTGCAATCAAATGTTAATCTCACTCCAAAATAAGTGTTTTCTATTTTCTTGTTTCATCTCACCTCTTTTTAATTAAGAATTTCATTTTAATTCTATTTTATATGTATACCCATCATTCCAGCTTGGCTCTTCATAAGGCATAAATACATTTCGGTCTCTTCTACATTTTAGTTTTAGGATATTTGATATGGTAACTTCATTTTGCTTTAAGTCTATAATATTTTGTGACTTGTATATTTGCGTATGTTTGTTTTACCCAATTTGTTCATTTGTTATGTCTTGTTTCTGTGAGGTCAAGAAGTTATTAATTCCTTCTTTCCAGCACCGCACTGTGCTTCCCATGGTAGTGCCAAGAGCAGAGGGACAGTGAAATCAGGGCAGCTCTGCCAGGCTTGTAAATTATATGAGCAGCCTCCTGCAAAGGGAGTCTAAACCTGAAAGCTATAAATCAGAGTTTAATAGCAAGCATTTCTTCACAGAATTAATTTCTGCTAAGTCACGGCTATTTTGGTAGTATCCATTTTTTTTCTGTTATGTAAGATTTTGATGATTTTTAACTTGAGCCCTGAGAATGAAATCAAAGAATAATTAGCAGTACAGAATCCAGGAAAATTGAAATTCACAGTGATTCTATCTATGTGATTCTGAAATGTAATTATTTTGCCGCATGTTGTTGCTAATGCTTTTTATAGGCAAAGAATTCTGTTTTCTTGATCCAAATGAAATAGATATTTTGGCACTGAAAGAATAGAAAAGCGTGGTACATTTTCCTGAGGCTAAGAAAGCAAATGAACATACAGTTTAACTCTCATGAACTCTCTTCTCTCTTATGTTGAGAAAATATGATTTATATCCATATTTTTGGCTATCTCCTACAGAGATAACATTTTATTTCAAATAGGAGGGGTTGCAGGAAATCTGTAATGGTATAAAGTATGGATTTCTATGTCAAGGCAAGATTGCAACTATAACTAAGAGAAATTTCTCAGGAGTGGAAAAAAATAATGACCATTTATGGAGCACATACTATATGCAAGGTGGTACCATGTGCATCATTCACATAAATATAGTGTCTCACTTGATCTTAGTGACAACTTTGTAAAATGAGTCCTGTCCTTTTTATCATTTCATAGTCATGAATATAATGTTCAAAAAAAGTAATTCTCCCAATATGACATGCAGACTATGTGGTAGAGATGGTCTCACTCCAGAGCCTCTGCTATAACCCACTATATTATGGTACAATAACCCTAAAGCCTGATAGAGAAAATTATGCTGACGTAAGTATTGAGTTTTGGCTGAAGAGAGAGAAGAGAGTTCCTGGGAGTTAGGTTGTAAGTTCATTTGCTTCCTTAACCTCAGATACTGACCCCATGACTCCAGTATTTTTATTCTCTGCAGTTGTTTCCTATGGCTGCCATTTAAAGATGCTACAAATCAGGTGACTTAAAACAATAAGAAATTTATTCTTTTATGGTCCTGGAGGCTAGAAGTTCCAGATCAAGGCATGAGTACCCGAGGGCCTAGGCACTGGTTCTTTTCTTGCTTGGGATATTCTTTCTCAAAGAACCATGTCTTGAATTCTCTCCCTCTCTTAAATCTTTGGTCAAATATCACCTTCTAAATGAGGTGAACTCTGGCTACCGTTTTTCCAAAATTGTAGCCCTGTCCTCAGCACTTCCAAACTTCCTGTACTCTGCCCTGCTGTCTTTTGTCTTCATAGTCTTCCTCATCTCCTAACGTACTAAGTAATTCACTTTATTATGTTTCTTGTTTGCCTGACTTCCCCTGCTAGACTGTGAGATCCCGAAGACAGGGCTTTTTGTTTTGTTCACTGATATAGCTCAAGAATAATGCATGGCATATAGTAATTACTCAACATATTTTGGATGAATTGGATAAACCATTTCTCCACATTTTACATGGCCAGTGAGAGAGAGGCTGGAATGAAATCACTGGACTTAGGAAAATTATTGCTATATTTTCTAGTATAGTTTTCATAGAGGTTTTTCCACAGCACAATAAGGACAGAAATTAGGAAGAATTCACCAAGAGAGAAGTGTGTGTGTGTGTGTGTGTGTGTGTGTGTGTGTGTACACACACACATGCATGAATATCTAGTTAAATATGTAAAACAGTGCAATTATTTGAGTGTAAAATTATTTTTAAGACATAGAAGTAAGACATGAGTAGGCTAAAAATGAGTATGGGTGTGTGTTGAATTGTTGGAAACTCACAAAATACCGGAAGGAAACCTATCTACAACTCAAGACTCCGGAAGGTCACCACCCATTCTTCTTAATCAACAGAACAGAACTGTGTTTCCTCAGACAGGTCCCTTAGCACGCATTTGTCTTTGTAGCCTAACTGTAAACATGTCTGTAAAATGATGTCTCTTTGTAATGTAAAACCTGCTTTAAAAGCTTTAGACATCCTTGAAAACATCTATTTTTTGGTTCTTTTCTTCCTTGCCTTTCTTTTCTTTGCCCTACTTTCTATTTTCCATTACCTTTTATTCCATTTTTGTGTGTCCAGCAATATGTGTGGAATGAAAAAAATTAGAAACTAAATATTCTGCATTCTTTTGTGTGGAATGAAAAAAATTAGAAACTAAATATTCTGCATTCTTTTTTAACATTCATTTGCTTAACATTAAAATCATAGGTATTAAAAGGATTTTAAAATAATTTCTGGTCAAAGATACTGTGCTTTTTTAGGTCAAACCATATGCGTTGTGGGGGAAAAAATGTCTCAGAAATATGGAATTGACATTCTAGTGAGCCTGGTTAAAAAATACTTAAAAAATATTTATAACTGGAGGTTTCCATTTGGCAACTCAAAGCAGTTCCCAGACTGGCACCGGTTTTTTTGTTTTTTTTTTTTTTCTCTCAGACATCTCGTTTGGACAGGGAAAAGAAGGGGACTCCTTTGGAGGCTCCAAGAATTATTTTAATGACACAATTGCAGTAAATTTCTCATAATAAAGGAACTTAGGTACATTGAGGCAGTTATACTTGATGCCAAGATTTAATATTTTAATAATTTATCTGGACTGAGGCAAGGTTATAGGCAGTTGTTTGGAGTAAAAATCAATGATTTATTAGAAGATCGTATTGGATACGTATTAATGTATTTGTAGAGAAGGTTGACAAAGAAGGGATCTGAGTGAGAATGTAGCATGTTGGGGAAACTTCTCTGGGTTTCCCAGCATGCCCCGGGCTGGACGAAGTGCCTTTCTTGGTTACTAAGCATGAATCAGCATCTGCATATCTGGTACTCAGCAACCCTAGGCTTAAATGCCATTATCTTAGTTGCCTCTTCTATCAGATGGTAGATTCCTTCAAGACTGAGACTAAGAATAATAAGATACACAATTAATCATAGCTGCCATTTGTCAAGTCCTTACTATGTCCAAGCCTGTGTGCTTTTCATATCTTATCGCATTTGAAGACTCACAACAACTCTGTGAAATAGTAGCCCATTTTATAGATGAAAACTCAAACTTTATAACCAGGAAAATAAGCATAGTGTCACACAATTATTATGTGGAAAAGCTAGAAGGCTTCCAATTCATCTCTGGGTTGGGCCAACATGGGACCTGTTGATGTAATTTTTGAATGAATGAATAAAACGATAAAGGAGTAATTTTAAGATGTTTAAAATTTTGTTACCTAGTTAAGTAAAATATAAATTCATGGGAACAATTAGAAAACAAATATTTTTGTTGTTGTTCCTAGAGGCTATTTTAGCCTGTAAAACCCCAAAGAAGACTGTTTCCTCCAGATTAGAGTGGAAGAAACTGGGTGAGAGTGTCTCCTTTGTCTACTATCAACAGACTCTTCAAGGTAAGAAGCTATAGGCTTGAAGAGGTGAGAGCAAGAGAATGCCAAGTACAACCAAAATCCTTTAATTGACAAATGAGATCAGGATGTGTTTTTGTAAGTGTGAGATAAAAGCAACCATATCTGAGACATAAAACACATAGCCACAAAAGCAGAGAACAGAAAGAAGTGAAGCCCACTGAGTCGCTGGACTCTTCTTTCTCAACTCAGGCATAAAAGGGGCAAAGTGCAATTGCTTTTATTGGCTCAATAGATTAAACTCCTTTTCTTCTTTTGTTTTCTGTTCTTTTCATTTTCTTCCTTTTTTCTTTTTCTTTCTTTCTTCCTTACTTTTCTTTCTTTTTCTTCCTTTCTTTCTTTTTCCAAGGTCTTGTTCTCTTGCCCAGTCTGGGGTACACTGGTGTGATCATGGCTCACTGCAGCCTCCACCTCTGGGGCTCAAGTTATCTTCCCATCTCAGCCCCCAAGTAGCTGGGAATACAGGGGCACACCACCATGCCCAGCTAATTTAATTGTTTTTTTTTTTATTATTATTTTATTTTTATTTTGGAGATGAAGTGAGGTCTCCCTATGTTGCTCAGGCTGGTTTTGAACTCCTGGGCTCAAGCCATCCTCCTGCCTCAGCCTCTAAAAGTACTGAAATTACAGGTATGAGCCACTTGCATGGCTGTAGAAAAACTCCTGAGAGAAAGGAAGAAAAAAATGGTATGGTTTGGAAATGGAAGGTTGCTTCTCAGCAATAATGCTGTCACCCTATTTCCTTGCTTCTCAGTAATAATTCTGCCACTCTATTTCCTTGTGTCCGTCTTGAGAGGTAGGCCACCACTGAGAAGCTTACGGAGTTAAGACTGTGGGTGACTTATGATAACAACCATTATCAAGAGCTTTTTTTCTTTTATTTCTTTTGTTATACATTTCTTTCCATTATCTACTCTTGCCATTGAATATGTGATAAACTTATAATTTAAAATACTGATAATGATGGATGAACTGTTATGATGTCCATTTGCTTCAAAATAAACCAGTGGTTAATGATACAGATGAAACAAGATAAACCATGCATTGATGACTATTATAGCTGGTAAGTGGTACATTGAGGTACAATTCACTCTACTTTTCAATCTTGTGTATGCTTGAATCTTTCCATTATAAATATTTCTAAAGCTGGAAATATAATTTTACAAGTGTAGTTAACATGTTATTATTTTAAAATACTATGTATTTCTTTAATGTTAAAGAATTAAGTGAAAACAATTTGAAGTTTATAGAAAATTTAAAATATCCCCTCGGGTGCTTATCTGTCAAGATAAGACTGCTAGCTATAACGTGATAATAGCACAGCTGTCTTCATTTGAATTTCCTGTAGTTGCCATTTCTGGCATGTGCACATTATGCAAAACTTTTCATTTCAGCCACTGCCCCTGCCCAATTTTTACATTTTTTTAAAGAGGTGAAGATCTGGCCATGTTGCCAAGGCTAGCCTCAAACTTCTGTCCTCAAGTCCTCAGCCTTCCAATTGGCTGGGATTACAGGTGCAAGCCACCACATGAGGTGCAAAACACTTTTAATTCTGAATATGTTACTATCAAAAGATAAAATGTTTTTAAACACCTTTTCTTGTGCCACAGTGTTACGTGGGCCACCACACATAAAGTTACTGTTCCAGCCAATTAAACCAGACTCCCTGGTTTTCTGAAAACATTAATATTTTTACAAGGGAACTAGAAAGGGAATGAGGCAAGCATTTGAGTTGAATTCTTTAAAATATAATATGGGGCTGGGCGCAGTGGCTCATGCCTAAAATCCCAGAACTTTGGGAGGCCGAGGTGTACAGATCACTTAAGGCAAGGAATTCAAGACCAGCCTAATCAACGTGGTGAAACCCTGTCTCTACTAAAAATACAACAATTAATCATGTGGTGGTGCACATCTGTAATCCCAGATGCTCAGGAGGCTGAGGCATGAGAATGGCTTACAGTGAGCCAAGATCACACCACTGCACTCCAGTCTGTGCAACAGAGCAAGACCTTGTCTCAAAAAAAAAAAATATATATATATATATGGGAAGGGCCTCAGTGGCCACCTGCTGGTGGCTGCTCCTAACAGGGCCCATGCTGGAGCTAACAGCCTGCCAGGGCGTTGAGCGCTTGGGGATCAGGTGGGAGCACTGGGGTCAGCCAGAGTCAAACATATCAGTGTAGGCCCAGAACAACCCAGAAGATAAAATTAACAGTTCACTTTATAGACCAACAGTGAAACATTAACAAAGGAAAAATTGATGATGCTCTATTAGATATTGTTAGATGTTGTGGTTGAAAATAATCTAGATATTGATGGGTTTGTTGCATGGGAGGGAACCTTGGTTTGCTCTATCTGTCACCTCGTCTTTGAAAAGCACATATTTGAGAAGTTAGACACAATCACTGACAAGGAAATTGATATGCTTGATCTGGCATATGGACTGACGGACAGATCAGACTTGCATTGCCAAATCTGTTTGACAAAATCTAGGGACCATATGACTATTTGAGCACCTAATGGAGTGGCCAGTGCCAGACCATCCATTGATATGGGCAAGACCACCTAAGCTAGAATAAATAGGAATGCTTTCACAAAAGTCACCTATTTTATAATTATTTCTTAATATAATTAAATGAAAACATGCATGAATGAACTTATTATTATGACCAACTTTACTATTTTAACTCATCTTGTATAACTATTGAATTTTGTAGTTCCAAAAATATGCAGGTTTTACTTCTGTTAAATTAGAAAAATGTCAGTTAAATATTAGAAAATAATTAATATGATAATACCTTACAAATTTTGCCTTGTTTACCAACTTTTAGCAAAATGTTTTCACATGGCCTTATGTCTGCTTACCTAGAAAGTAAATTTTAAAAAAGATTTTATTAGCCCTGTTTTATATGAGTGAAGACAACGACCTAAAATGTCTTGTTTAGGGCCATCCAACTAATTAGAAAATCTGTACAAGAACCTGCATCTTATTACTGTAAGTTATATGTTAGACTGAAACTGGATAAATTATGACTATCTTATAGTAGCAATTAAATCTGAGTGCATAGAGACAAAAACATTTAATTGCTCAGTGAACTGCTTAACTGATAGTTATTAACCTTATACATCAATATTTCAAAATTTTGATTCAGTGAGAAACATTATGTCAAACGTAGGCCTTACAACACCGCCAAAGAAGTTTGATCTTTGTTTTGACTAAGCTAGTAGAATAAACTAAAATTAGATAAATGAAATAAAATATGAGAATATAAAACTAAATTTTTTGAACATTTTAGAAACCGTCCTTTCCAAAAGAAAAATGTAAAATAACAGCATCCATATATAATTTTTACATTTTAAACTTTTTAATAGGAAATAAATGTTTTGGTTATGGAATGAACTGACTAGATGAGGAAGGTATTGCACAGAAAGCTACTTGGATTATTACTAACATCAATGTCTTCTTTTTCTAAAAGGTAATTTTAAAAATCGAGCTGAGATGATAGATTTCAGTATCCGGATCAAAAATGTAACCAGAAGTGATGCGGGGAAATATCGTTGTGAAGTTAGTGCCCCATCTGAGAAAGGCCAAAACCTGGAAGAAGATACGGTCACTCTGGAAGTATTAGGTGATGTGCATGTATGTGTGTGACTACGTCTCCCACCCCTTCCCCACTCCCCAGCCCTGGGGGCAACCAGGCACTGGTCCATGAACATGGCAGCTTAAAGTGGGGCCTCAACCAGTCAAGTTATAGAGACCATAAGCATCACCTTCCCGGTAAGCTCTTGGCCATTTCTCCGCATCCCCTCATTGGCTGCTGAAATTTTAGTAACTCGTTATCACAAAGTATCTCTTTGTTAAAGATGGAGGTAATTCCTAATGGTCTTACAATGTACATAGGAGTATCTTTCCTGAGAGTTTATTTTTCAATAGTTTTCAGCATATATACATTTCTCCAACCATTTAAAATGGTATCATATAAGATGATAGAGAAGCAATAACACAAAAAAAAGTAGACCAGAGGTGGGATGAGAAGTCATTTGGTAAATAAAGGAAATTGACATTGATTACATAGCTGGTATGTGTTAGGTCGTTTCACATATCTAATTTTACTTCATCTTCACTAACAACCTGATTTGTACAGATAAGTAAATGGAAGTTAAATGACTTAACAAGGCCATATAGCTAGAAAGAGACTGGACTGGGATTTAAACCCAGATGGGGTTAATTCCAAGACCAGTATGTTTAGTTTCTGTATGAATCATGGATAGGCTAAGCACAGTGGCTCATGCCAGTAATCTCACCACTCTGGGAGGTTGAAGTGGGAGGATCCCTTGAGGCCAGGAGATTGAGCCCAGTCTGGGCATCATAGTGAGTTCCCTATATCTCTTTAAAGAAAAAAAAATACATGTGTGTGTGTATATATATATGGCTGAGACTACAGGTGCATGCCACCACGACTATGTATATATATGTGTGTATATATATACATATGTGTGTGAGTGTGTGTGTGTGTGTGTGTGTATACACACACACACATTGTCTATATGTATCTCAGGCAGGAGGATCACTTGAACCCAGGAGTTCTCAGCTACTTGGAAGGCTGAGACAGGAGGATCACTTGAGCCCAGGAGTTCAAGGCCGCAATGAGCTATGATTGTGCCACTGTACTCCAACCTGTGAGACAGCAAGTCTGTCTCGAAAAAATAATAAAAAGAATCACTGATAGATTGTAACAGCATGATGATAGTTTGTGGAGGAACACAATCTCGTCTCTTTCATTGGTGGTTTTAATCTACCAAGCCAAGAGACTAAAACAGCTCCCTTCCTTTTTCATGTTGTTCATGCTCTTTCTTAAATACTAGTGATGTACTAGTATACGAGAAGTTTAATTCAGAAAACCTGGCAGCAGATCCAGCCAGTTTGTTCATTTTTTAGTGTTATATAACAAATTCTCTCACATTTAGCAGAATAAAAGAACATGCACTGATTAGCTCGTAGTTCTATAGAGCCGAAGTCCAACAAGAAGACTGGGTTATCTGCCCAAGGTATCACAGGCTGAAATCAAGGTGTTGACAAGGCTGAGTTCTCATCTACAGCCTGTTAGGAAAATCTTTTTCCAGGCTCATTCTTGGTGTTGGCAGATTTCAGTTCCTTGTGGTTGTAGGACTGAGGTACCTGTTACATGCTAGCTATGAGATGGGGGCCCACACTCAACTCCTAGAGGATACCACATTCCTTGTTACATGGTCCCTTCCATCTTCAATGAAAAGCATGTCAAATTTGTCAAATTCATCCTGTACTTGTTGTTGTTTTTGAGACAAGATTTCACTCTGTCTTCCAGATCACAGCTTAGTACAGCCTCAGCCTCCTTGGCTTAAGCAGTTCTCCCATCTCAGCCTCCCAATTAGCTGAGACCACAGGCACACACCACTGTTGCGTTTGTTTGTTTATTTTGTAGAGACACAATCTTGCTATGTTGCCCAGGCAGGTCTCAAACTCCTGGCCTCAAGCAATCCTTCTGCCTTGGCTTCACCAAAGTGCTAGAATTACAGGCACGAGCCACCATGCCACGCCTTCTTTTTGTGCCTTGAATCTCTGACTTTCCCTTCTGTAACCAGCCAGAGAAAACTCTCCACTTGTAAAGATTCATGTGATTAGGTCAAATCCATTCATGAAATCGCCCTCTCTTAGAGACAATGGTTTTGGGACCTTAGTTACGTTTCTAAAATCTTTTTTACTACAGTACTTAAATTAGTGTTTGATTGAATAACTGGAAAAAAGAAAGTGTATTTATATCGAGGACCACAATCTTGGGAGACCACCTTATGATTCTGCCTACCACAGCCAATTCTGGGTTTTCCTGGATAACAGGTCACCTGATGAAGTTTGGTTTACTTTCTCATACCTGAGACCAGAATAACCCTAATACGTGGAGCAAGTATCTTCTAACTTGGCCAGTTCTAGACAGAATGAGATTTATACTTGAGTACTGGGCCTGAAAAAAGTACTCAGGTTTGGCCGGGCATGGTGGCTCATGCCTATAATTCCAGCACTGTGAGAGGCCGAAGCACAGGATTGCTTGAGCCCAGAACTTCACGAGCAGCCTGGGCAACATAGTGAGACCCTATCTATGTTAAAAAATATATTTTTAATTAGCTGGTTGTGGTGCCTTGAGCCTAGATTCCAGCTACTCAGGAGGTTGAGGTGGAAGGATCGATCAGTTGAGCTGGGGGGTTGAGGCTGCACTAAACCGTAATCACACCACTGTACTCTGGCCTGGGTTATAGGGTGAGATTCTGTCTCAAAAAAAAAAAATCTATCTACATCCACACACACCCTTTCTCAAATCTGGCTTCTTTTAAATATAATTGATAATAAACCAATTGAAGAAAATAAACCAAAAAGAAATAGAGGTTGTTTATCTAATAAAGAATAGCTGTTATATTAGCTATGGTAATGCTTACTATTATAACAGATAAGCCCTTAACTCTCAGTGAGTTGCTTAACTTAACAAGTTTCTTTCTCACTTAAGTAAAGCCTAAATAGTTGGGGCAGTGGCGGAAGAGCTATATTTACTCAAGAAATCATTAGTGTAAGGTTAGCCGAGAGAAAGGAGAATAGACCCAAAGTCAGGCAATCAAGTTTTGTTAACCTGCCGGGCTGCTCCGTAACAATCAGAGGAGGCAGCCCTGAGCTTACAGGTCAAGGGTTTATATGGGGTGAGGGAGGCATAAGGGAGTTTTAGGTAACAGGCACAGAGATAGTTTGTTAACTTGCTACAGACCTACAATACATCATCCTGTGACTTTTGTGGCGGCAGTCTTTAAAAAGGAAGACAGAAACCAGGATTTTTTACAGACATGTGTCAAACAGGAATTTACAAGTATGGATGACCAACATATGTTTTCCCTGTCCTCCCGTGAGCTGCCTGGATGGCTGCAATCAGGCTTTGCTTAATTGCCACACGTCTGGCAGCCTTGGTGTGGCGCCTAGGTAGGGGTTCAGGAATGCAGCTGCAGAGCAATCAGAGGGGATGGGGTCAGCCTGCACGGAGCCGGTTTTCTGAGACAGCACAGCTCGTCCCTAACAATGAGAGACTCAACCTAATGTAGGTCTGACATCTTCAATACGTGACTTTCTAAGGTCACTATTATTGTTGACACCTACTTGGTAGTGGGAGGGGGTAGAGGATATGAATGAATGGAGACTCGTGGGAGGTTTTTAATTAGTCAGACCTGGAAATGGCATTTATCACTTTTTCCCACATTCCACTGGGCAGAACTCATGTATGTGACCCCATCTGGCAACAAGAGTGCTGGGAAACATGGTCTGCTCTGTGCCCATGAGAAAAGATGGGTTTCTTGGACAAGTAACCGGTTTCTATCACAGGGTCCAGTACGCGCACATCTTTACCTGGCTATTAAAACCTTTGATTGTAGAGATGAAGTCAACAGCTTTGAAAAAAACAAAAAAGCAACCTTGATTAGCTTATAAATAACCAATGTCATTTGACTTCCATTGTTTAGTGGCTCCAGCAGTTCCATCGTGTGAAGTACCCTCTTCTGCTCTGACTGGAACTGTGGTAGAGCTACGATGTCAAGACAAAGAAGGGAATCCAGCAGCTGAATACACGTGGTTTAAGGATGGCATCCGTTTGCTAGAGAATCCCAGACTTGGCTCCCAAAGCACCAACAGCTCATATACAATGAATACAAAAACTGGAACTCTGGTAAGGCCATTTCGAGAATTGACTTGATAACTGTCTTGCATTTGGATAAAAAAATATTAGAACTTAAGATGATGTCAAAGAGAGAACTGATACCATTGCTTGCTAAGTGGGGAGAGGCAGGGGGAGCAGGAAAGATGGCAGCACTTGCACCAAGAAGCGATGGAAAGAGCTGCTACAGGAGTTGGGAAGAGAAAACAGAGACTGAGGGAGCTGAGCGTGAAGGACCAGTAAAGGCTCCTGAAGCAAAGGAGCAAAAGCTGCGTGTTTATCTCTTCAGAATTTCAAAAAATTCTAGAATTGATCGTCCTATAAATGATACCAATTAAGGTTTTCCTAGACCCTAAGCTACTTTCTGGTAGTAACTCTGGCTCTTTAAAGGAAATGTTTATTCTTTGCTGCTTCAGTGAACTCGCTTGTGACTTAGGAAAGTGCATTAACCCTTTTACCAGGGAGGCCTTCATTTATATAGGTGGTATTTCCTAGGAATTGGAAATCCCTAGACTACTGAATACTGCCATGTGCTATAAACTTTAAAAAAATGCACACTGCCTTCTTAAGTAGCAGTGCCCCAAAGCCCACTAAGCCTGATTCATGATGCTGGATCAGACAGTTATCTATAGCTATCTTCTGGGCTGGAAAATTACTAAGTGCAGCCTCAATTTACAACATCAGGAAAATGCATGAAAACTTGCTTGGGGATACCCTGACCAGGTGAAAATAGTAACTGTAGTCAATCCTAGTGAATCATGGTAGGATTCCTGTGTCATTAAATATTTCCATGACTGTAGACCACCAACAGTTGACTCTCTGACTTGAGTATCTGTTACTTTAGATTGAGTCCAGATAAGTCTGTTTCCCCTTTAAAATATTCTTATTGAAAGACCTTTCTAGGAATACTGATGACAATCTATGAGTAAGCTCTGTGAAGCTAATTTCATTTAAAAATAAAAAGTATTACTTTTTCATCTGTGATTTTTAGGAATAGAAGTGGAAGTTTGCTTGAAGCTTTCTAAACAAAAAATTCAGTCGATATAATATTCCATGTCAGTTTAAAATCGTCTGCCCTCTAACAACGCAGAATCACTATGAGAGCCATTATCAAAAAAATCTTAAAGGTGTGGTGATAACAATAACAATGAGTTTTGTTGTTATTGCTGTTGTTGTTGTTTGAAATAGAATCTCACTCTCAGCTCACTGCAACCTCTGCCTCCTGGTTCAAGCAATTCTCCTGCCTCAGCCTCCCGAGTAGCTGGGACAATAGGTGCCCGCCACCACGCCTGGCTAATTTTTGTATTTTTAGTAGAGACAGGATTTCTCCCTGTTGGCTAGGCTGGTCTCAAACTCCTGACCTCAAGTAATCCGCCCACCTTGGCCTCCCAAGGTTCTGGGATTACAGGCGTGAACCACCAGACCCAGCCAATTTTAATGAATTTTGAAAGGAGGGTATAATGCTTCATTCCTTTCATCTACAAGTACACAATAATGTTTACAAACTAGATCTTCTGATAAACAAGAAAGCAAATTGCTAAAGTGGCTGAAAAATGAGCCAGTTGGCTGTAGCTGCTCCTTTACCACCGCCACGCTCTGGCCTCTCAGCAGTCAGCAGGCGCAGTCAGCAGGTCTGAGTGATTTTACACTGCGCAATTGGGCAGAAAAACCTGCTGTCACATTTTGCTATATTTACTTTTCAGATTTATTTTTTCTCAGGGCAGGTGATAAAAGCCCCAAGGCAAGTCTGAAAGGATACAGATTCACGTTCCTCAGCTAAACTCAACCTTTGCAATAGCTTGTGATGTCAAAGGAATGCACCTGGGTTGAACCAGGATGGGCTTTTATGTGAGAAATGGACCACAGAGACTCCAGTGTATGGAAGCCAGTGACTTCCTTCTAATTACCAGTTATAATGTGCTGGAAGATCATTTTGGGTTTTAGTCTAACATATTATTTATATGTAACCTTGGCCCTGAGTTCATGGTGAATATTCTAAAAGCATTCTGGCTTTCAGGAGAGTGAGAGATGATTCCATAGAGTGAAAAAAAAAAAAAAAAAAGAAAGAAAAAAAAGAAAACTTTCTCTCCCTCCGTTTAGGAGGCTCTAAGACAATGACCCTTCAAGGTGAGCAGGATTTCACTCCCTTTCTTCCCTTCCTCCCGCCCTTTCTTCTTTCCTTCCTTCCTCCCTCTCTTTGTTCTGTCGTTCTGTCCTTCCTCCCTCCATCCCTCCCTTCCTCCCTCTCTCTCTCCTTCTCTTCCCTCTCTCTCTCCTCTTCTTCCTTTTTGTCTGCCTTCATTTCTTCCAAATATCCTCCGAGGGGATAAAACGACTGATAAAAATAATGAAGTCTATTATATCAGTCTTAGCTTTTGGTTGCTTTGACAGGGATGGAAGGAGCAAGGGCTGGACTTTATCTTTTCAGAATTAAAAAAAATTCTAGAATTGATAGAATTGACAATCCTATAAACTGATACCAATTAAAATTTTGCTAGGCCCTAAGCTCCTTCCTGGTAGTAGCTGGCTCTTTAAAGGAAGTGTTTATCCTTCGCTGCAGCAGTGAACTCACTTGTGACTTAGGGAAGTAAATTAACCCTTTTACCAGGGAGGCCTGCCTTTCATTTATAAATCATGTTTCCTAGGATTTAGAAATACCTAGATTACTTAGTACTACCATGTGTTATGAACTTTAAAAAATGCTTACTGCCTTCCTAACTACTGCTTTCATGGTTTTTTAAAAAAAAAAAAGGAACTTCCCTGTACGTATTTTGTCTTTGTTCTTCTCTGTCAAATGTAGCAAAAGTCTAGCTTAAACTCGAGTCATGGCAGATTTTTAAATTCATAGTAAAGATATAAAGTCTCACATTTTTAAAAAGAAAAGCCAAACAATGCTAAAATTCAAGGGACAGAGTTATTTAAAAAGTCTACTTATAGATCTGTGGCTTAATATATATATATTTTTTTCTATCCACAAATAGCAATTTAATACTGTTTCCAAACTGGACACTGGAGAATATTCCTGCGAAGCCCGCAATTCTGTTGGATATCGCAGGTGTCCTGGTAAACGAATGCAAGTAGGTAAGTGGAATATCGAGAGGAACAAATGGTCTGCAATTAGACTGAAAAGTGCTGCATTTGGGGGTGGAAGGAGCAAGGAGTAGGAAATGTCTGAGTGAGCTGAAGGATAAACAGGAGGGAACGTTTAAAATTAACGTGATATGATGTGTTGCAAAGAAGCAAAGATGCTATTTTTAAGCCATCTCCCAAATAAGCCAAAAATATTTAGTATTATATTTAACCAGCTTTCTTTAGATTTTTAAATAATTGTTTTTAAAATATAGTCTTCTGAGTAATCTTTCTTTCAAATAAAAGCTAAGTATCTTGTAGTCTAAATTGTTGAAGGTCCAGAAGTTTGAATTTCTGATTTTTTAAAAAATTCAGGAATGTATATCATTGATATTAGCCACCAAATTAATTCAGGTATTGACATTTAGAGTCAACTTTGCAGTTATTTAAGTAATCAGAAAGTATCTTTTTCAATGCTGTTTTTGAAATTATTTTTAAAATTCATCAGAACATCTTTAAAACTTAAGACATTATTTTCTCATTTCATTCGTTTACATATGTTCTCATGGTTTTTGGTTTTTCTGTTTTTTGTTTGTTTGTTTGTTTTGAGACAGAGTCTTGGTCTGTCACCTAGGCTGGAGTGCAGTGGTGCGATCTTGGCTCACCGAAACCTCTGCCTCCTGGGTTCAAGCAAATCTCCTGCCTCAAATTCCCTAGTAGCTGGGATTACAGGCGCGCCCACCACACCCAGCTAATTTTTGAATATTTAGTACTTGTACTTAGAAAGAGTAGATGTGTAAGAATCATGTTCAAATTAAACTGGTCCTAGTGGAAAAACAAACTTTTAAATTTTATTCATTATGTATTTATTATGTGCTAAGAAAAAGTAACTAATACATCAAAACCATGACTTCCTAGATAAAATTTCTTAAGAGAAGGCAAAGGTAGACATTTAAATTAAACAGGACCATTTAAATGAAAGGAAAAAGAAACAGAAATAGTGCTGGTAGTACAAGTTAATGGTAAAAACAATGAAGACAGGCCAGGCGCAGTGGCTCATGCCTGTAATCCCAGCACTTTGGGAGGCTGAAGTGGGTGGATCACCTGAAGTCGGGAGTTCAAGACCAGCCTGACCAACATGGAGAAACCCCATCTCTACTAAAAATATAAAATTAGCCAGGCGTGGTGGCACATGCTTGTCATCCCAGCTACTCAGGAGACTGAGCCAGGGAAATCACTTGAACCGGGAGGCGGAGGTTGCAGTGAGCCAAGATCACACCACTGCACTCTAGCCTGGGCAAAAAGAGTGAAACGCCATCTCAAAAAAAAAAAAAGAAAGAAAAGAAAATTTCTCTTCACTGAGGCATAATATGGCTGTATGACTTACTCAACAATCATAGGAAACAGCCAACAGGATGTAAGAGGTTAACTAACTCCTAATCTATTATCTTCTGTCTCCCATTGCATTGAAGAAAAATAACAGAAAATTCATACCACGACTTAGCACTTACAGGACAAGACAATTTTTGGTCAGGATTTACCTTTAGGGTGAATCCTTCATAGATGTCAAATTCATTGACAAACTACATGAAACCGTTTTGGTCAGGTAATAGCCCTTACTTTGAATGTTTCATAGATATCAAATGTATTGGCTACTGCTACAAAGTAAAGAGAAGGCACACTTTGGTTCTCAGGAATTTTACTTATTTATTTGACTTTGATTTGATTATGATTACTGTAAATTTTTCTCTCTCTGCTCTTTTTTTTAATCAAAGTAAATAAAAAGCTCAATACCCAAGCAAACTGAGTTTATACCAAGCAATAATTAAGGTTTTCTACTCTGGTCAAATTACTTAACCTTTCAAAAGATGTATCATGTTTCCTTTTTTAAAAATAATCAGTTAATATTTTGGAGGTATTTAAGAAAATTAATAACACACTTGGCATTAGGAAAGAAGTTTGAGACCAGAAGATTTTTATGATAAGAAGATTCACTTAAAGAATATCTCTAAAAAAGATATTTTCCAAAATGTACAGTGCTTTAAAATATTTAAAATTACTGTTGAGAAAAATGTTACCTAATATTTTCTCTAGGTTATTTAAACATATGCTAATTAAAATTTGCTTTTTATTTTGTTTATTTTATTTTATTTTTTGAGATGGAGTCTTGCTATGTTTCCTAGGCTGGAGTGCAGTAGCGTGATCTCAGCTCACAGCAACCTCCGCCTTCCAGGTTCAAGTGATTCTCCTCTTTCAGCCTCCTGAGGAGCCAGGATTGCAGGCGTCTGCCACCACACCTGGCTAATCTTTGTATTTTTAGTAGAGGCGGGATTTCACCTTGTTGGTCAGGCTGGTCTCGAACTCCTGACCTCATGATCCGCCTGCCTTGGCTTTAAAATGGGAATTCTTTGAAAAATTGCTCCTTTAATAAATATATGGAAAGTATCTAAATGGCAGAAGACTGTGGCTCATGAAATCCTCATGGACAAGATGGAGAAATATGGTCCAAACAATGTTTTAGTGGATTCACACATAGTTGAATCCCATGCTCAGAGAATGTTAATAAATTGTGTTGTATGACAGGTGGTGTCTACTGGCCTGTTACATAGTTCTTTCCTAAACAAAGTCATTTTCATCATGTTATTAATGACTTGAGAGTATTTTTAATAAAATTCTCAATCTGCAGAAATGTTAAGCTTGGAAGGTTAATAAGTAAGTATTGAGCAACAGAATCAATCTGGGGAGGAGAAAAAAAACCTCACAAGTAGTTATTTCCAAACTTGGGTCCAAAAAAATCCAGTTGCATTACACACATTAGAGGACGGATTCCTTGATAGCCATAGGAAAAGCCTCAGGGAGTTTAATTCATTTTTAATAAATGGGATGACAGTTTAGTCGCATATATATATGTGGCTGTGTATACACACGTACACAGACACACACACATGTAATTCAAGAAGGAAGGTATTTCTTACACTTAGTTTTACAGAATAACAATGACATGTGCTCTTTTTAAGAGACAGTCTCACTCTGTCACCTAGACTGCAGAGAAGTAGTGCAATCATAGTTCACTATACTCTCAAACTCCTAGGCTCAAGTGATCCTCCAGCCTCAGCCTCCTGAATAGCTGGGATGCCAGGAATGCACCACCATACATTTATGGCTAATTTTTTTTATTTTTATTTTTTAGAGATGGGTTCTTGCTATGTTGCCTAGGCTGGTCTCAAATTCCTGGCCTCAAGCAGTCCTCCCACCTCAGCCTCCTGAGTAGCTGGGATTACAGGCATGAGCCAACATGCCGGGCACCACATGCTTTCTTTGATACTGAGTTTTTCGTTATTTGCGAAACTGACGCAGATGATAATGTGGGAAATTTTTAAGTAAGATACGGGGTAGGGAGTGGCAGTAGAATACTTGAACTCATTGAACTTCAAAGATTGCTACCAGTCTGATATTTAATCCTGTGAATTATTACACATCTCCAAAGGAATGCAAAAGAATACCGTACATTTTATTTTTTTAATCTGAGAAGTTTCTAAAGTTTAGTATTTTTCCAAAGCTTAAGTTCTGTTAATATTTTTAATCAATTTTGAACCATGTCTTAGAAGTGAATTAGTTGAACGGGCTTCAAAATCGTTAAAGTACGCTCTATGGTATAGCTGCAAAGGGGACCTTTTTTTGAACCTTTTCAATGTAATGACTGCATCTGTCTGTATAATCCACATGAATGTATGCGTGATTTGTTTTACATTCCAGATGATCTCAACATAAGTGGGATCATAGCAGCTGTAGTAGTTGTGGCCTTAGTGATTTCCGTTTGTGGCCTTGGTGTGTGCTATGCTCAGAGGAAAGGCTACTTTTCAAGTAAGTAAATTTCACCCTTCTTTGGCAGATAATTTTCTGTGGCTATGGAGTTTATTTAGGAGAACTCTTTCTCCTAGAAATGTTTGTTTCTTTCTGAGACAGAGTCTTGCTCTGTCACCCAGGCTGGAGTACAGTGGCAAAATCTCTCCTCAGTGCAACCTCCACCTCTCAGTTTCAGGTGATTCTCATGTCTCAGCCTCCCAGGTAGCTGGGATTACAAGTGTGCACCAACACGCCCAGCTCATTTTTGTATTTTTAGTAGAGAGGGGGAGTTTGCTATGTTGGCCAGGCTGGTCTTGAACTCCTGGCCTCAAGTGATCTGCCTGCCTTGGCTTCCCAAACTGCTGGGATTACAGGGGTGAGCTAATGCACCTGGCCCTCTCCTAGGAAGTTCTAATAAACGCTGGAGAATATTGTTCATTTATTTTCTGCTATAGAAAATGTTCAGGATGACATGCAGGTGGCTTATGAAACACCTTGGCAAACCTAGGAAGTAAAGGCAGAACTGCCTAGATAGAAAATTCCAGAAAGCACCACAGAATACGCAAGAGGCATCTTTGGAGTGGTGCAGTGCAGCGAGACAGAGTATTCCATGTGAATAGATATTTATAGCATCTTGGTATGTTTTTAAGATATTTTTATTTTAAGTTAGGAATTGTATCTCTCAAGATATGTTGATTTCTAATTTTACAAGAAATTTCATTGAAACAAATAAGTGAAATATTTTATCAGTGTAGAACAGTGAAATGTTGAATGTTAAATTTAGGACAACTTTATTTAGAAGAGACTTAATTGTTCAGCCAGGTGTAGTGGCTCATGCCTGTAATCCTACCACTTTGGGAGGCCAAAACGGGTGGATCACTTGAGGTCAGGAGTTTGAGGCCAGCCTGGCCAACATGGTGAAACCCCATCTCTACTAAAAATACAAAAATTAGCCAGGATTGGTGGCATGTGCCTGTAGTCCCAGCCACTCCAGAGGCTGAGGCAGGAAGATCACTTGAACCTGGGAGGTGGAGGTTGCAGTGAGCCGAGATTGTGCCATTCCACTCCAGCCTGGGCAATGAACAAGACTCCATCTCAAAAAAAAAAAAAAAAAAAAAGAGAATTGTTCTATCAAAACTAGAAACCTATTGTATTTATGAGAGCTACTTCTGTACACAGTATTTAGTTCTTCAAGTTTCGACCTCTTGTCACTTCACACTTCCATTTGATGATATAATACGTTTGACATAACAGGGAAGATTGAAAAATGTTTTATTCTCTTAATGCATTTCTTCACTCCCTCTTTAATCTTATTTGAGAGCTCAGAAGCTACAGCACTCCAGTGGGTCCACTGGCAATAGTGTATAAAATAGAATTTTTAATTGAATTCTAAATAAACTTATAGCATATACAAGTTGTAGACTCATTGTTTTCCAGTGAACATTAATTTTGGAATTTAGATTTTTAAATTTTTTTTTTTTTTTTTTTTTTGAGACAGAGTCTTACTCTGTGACCTGTGCTGAGTGCAGTGGTGTGATCACGGCTCACTGCAGCCTTGACTTTACGGGCTCAAGTGATTCTCCCACCTCAGCCTTCTCAAGTAGCTGGGCCTACAGGCACATACCACCACGCCTGGCTAATTTTCTTTTATTTTTTTGTAGAGACAGGTTCTTGCTCTGTTGTTCAGGCTGGTATCAAACTCTTGGGCTCAAGCAATCCTCCCACCTCAGCCTCCCAAAATGCTAGGATTATGGGTGTGAGCCACACCACTCCTGGCCTTAAAAATTTTTTGAGACCAAAACAAAACTTAAATATAAAATGTGTTTCTGATAATACCTACAACTAGGTATTATGTCTCATAAAATGTTTCAGTGGACATGGATTCAAAGAGATGCCTTATAATTAAGAATAACCGGGCTGGGTATGGTAGCTCACACTTGCAGTTCCAATACATTGGGAGGCCGAGGTGGGAGGATCACTTGAGCCCAGGGCTTCGATACCAGCCTAGGCAACATAGAGAGACCCTGTCTTCACAAAAAATCAAAAATTAGCCAGGCATAGTTACACACGCCTTTAGTCCCAGCTACTCAGGAGGCTAAGGTAAGTGGGATCGCTTGAGCCCTCAAGGTCGAGCCTGCAGTGAGATGTAATCTCACCACAGCATTCCAAGCTGGATAACAGGGAAAGGTACTGATCAAACAAACAAAAAGAACTGCTCTGTCAATTAATACTTGCTCAGTACTTCAAGACAGTCCACTGTAATGTAACTTTATGAATTGAATCCAGCTGTGTCCCCCTGCTGGTCACCAGTGAAAATACAGACAAATAAGATTACTCTTTAAAACCTCTTGTCATCTTTATCTATACTTGAAAAGAATACTGGTCTGACTTTTTAAATGAGGAGTTAGTGAACAAATTTTTATTAAAATACTGAATTAATTAAAAGTTGACTTGAATATTAGGAGTTCGTTACCTAAGAATGTTACTCGCTTTTTCATCTGGCAGAAAGATCTATCCAAGAGAATCATATTCTTGAACTTATGTTTAAGACAAAGGTTGGCAAACTACTACCTATGGACCAAATCTGCCCTCCCCGCCTATTTCTTTATGGCCTATGAACAAAAATGGCTTTACAGATGAACATTTGCAATCTATTCGATGATAGGGACTACTGAACCCCAATTAAGAGAAATGTTGTCTTCCTCCAGAAAACTCCATTTTTCTAACTAGTAGACCTGTATTTGAAGAATTTTATTTTTATTAGTGTTTTTTTGTTTTGTTTTGTTTTGTTTTGTTTTGTTTTGTTTTGTTTTGTTTTTGAAACAGAGCCTTGATCTGTCACCCAGGCTGGAGTACGGTAGCACAATCTCAGCTCACTGCAACCTCTGACACCTGGGTTCAAGCAATTGTCCTCCCTCGGCCTCCTGAGTAGCTGGGATTATAGGCACCACTACACCCAGCTCCTTTTTGTATTTTTAGTAGAGACGGGGTTTCAGCATCTAGGCCAGGCTGATCTTGAACTCCTGATCTCATGATCTACCCATCTTGGCCTCCCAAAGTGCTGGGATTACAGGTGTGAGCCACCACACTTGGCCTTATATTTTTTATTTTATCCATAAAAATTTTTGGAAATTTGTTTGCTCTCTTGTTACATAAGTACCTACCTAGTATCCTCCTGGCTCCAAAGCCTAAAATGTTTGCTGTATGACTCTTTACCAAATAAGTTTGCCAACTCTTAATTTAGAAGGTGTAAACATCAGCAAGTGAAGGTTAAAATGAATAAGAATAAATTAAACCCAAACTCATTTTTTATATGAATCTGTATCATACCATAATAACCCTTGCATTAATTATATATACTTATTCTTTTGTAGAAGAAGCCTCCTTCCAGTAAGTATACTCTCTTACAATGCATGTCTTTCCCCATGTCAACTAATTTTCTATTAATCATCTGTTTAAAGTCAAAAGACGGAAGTTGGGTTATTGGGTTATTTGTGTAGGTTTACTCTCCCAAGAAGTTACTCAAGTTTATCAAGAAATACATCTGTATTAGGCTGTTCTTCCATTGCTATAAGGAAATACCCGAGACTGGGTAATTTATTTTAAAAAGAGGTTTAATTGGCCCACGGTTCTGCAAGCTGTGCAAGCCTGGCACCAACACTGCTTGGCTTTTGGGGAGACATCAGGAAGCTTTTACTCATGGCTGAAGGCGAAGAGGGGGCAGACACATCACATGGCAAAAGCAGAAGCGAGATTGGGGAGGCGCCGCATGTTTAAATAACCAGATCGCAAGAAAACTCAGTCGCTATTCTCAGGACAGCGTTAAGGGGGCAGTACTAAACCATTCATGAGAAATCCACCCCCAAGATCTAATCACCTCCCACCAGGCCCCACCTCCCTCCAACACTGGGGATTACAATTCAACCAAAGATTTGGGTGAGGCAAATAGCAGACTCTACCAACAACCCACTTCATACTTCATACCTACTTGTAAACGATAGTGCAGACAGAAGGATGATTATCCACATGAGAATATGGTCACTAATTTGATTTCATAGGCATTTCCATAGGCTACTTTTAAAAAAACATATTTACTATATTTTGCCAAATTGAAAATTTTCAAATAAAATTTTAGTTAACTTTTTTTTTTTTAAAGACAGAGTGTCACTCTGTCACCCAGGCTGGAGTCCAGTAGTGTGAGCTCCACTCACTGCAACCTCCGCCTCCCGGGTTCAAGTAATTAATTGTCTGACTCAGCCTCCCGAGTATGTGGGATTACAGGTGGCTGCTACCATGCCCGGCTAATCTTTGGTATTTTTAGTAGAGACAGGGTTTCACCATCTTGGCCAGGCTGGTCTTGAACTCCTGACCTCGTGATCTACCCACCACAGCCTACCAAAATGCGGGATTACACGCATGAGCCACTGCGCTCGGCTAACAGTCATTTTTTAACATTAATTGAATACCATTTTCATGCCTAACACTGTTGTAGGGACTGGGGACACAGTAGTGAACAAAATAGGCCAAAAACCCCCAAAAACTCTGCCTTATGGAGCTTACATTCTAGTAAAAAAGGCAGAGAGTAAACAGATAATACGTAACATAGTATATTAGACAGGGATAAGTATTATGGAGAAAAATAAAACAAATAAGAGAATATAGAATACAAAGCGTAGGAGTGGAGATTGTAATTTCAAATAGGATGGTCAAGAATGATCTCACTAATAAGTGATTTTTGAGAAAGGCCTGAAGAGGGTGAGGAAGCAAGTCGTGCAAATAACCATGTGAAGAGCGTTCAGGCAGAGGGGAGAGAGCAAATGGAAACATCCTGAGGCTAGGCAAGCCTAGAGTACCTGAGGGATGTCAGCCAGACCAGGGTGGCTGGAACGGAGTGAAACAGGAAATGGGTGTAAAAAAGTGGTGGGGGGCAGATTGTATGGAGTCCCTTTTAGGCAGTTGTGAGGAGTCTGGCTCTATTTCTGAGTAAGACAGAAAGTCACTGAAGGGCTTTAAGCAGAGTGGTGTCGACTTGCTCAGTTCTTCAAAACTCACACTGGCGTCTCTGTTAAGAATAAACTATGAGATGACAAAAGGTGGAAGCAGGGAGATCAGTTAGGAAATTGCACGAAGTGAGGCAAGAGAAATGGCGGCTGGTACCAAAGCAGTAGTGTTGGAGATGCTGAGAAGTAATAGTGTTTTGGACGTTAATGTTTTCATCACTTGCTGATCTGTTGGATGTGGCCTGTGAGAGAAAGAAATCGAAGATGGCCTTGAGGTTATGAGAAGGATGGAGTTACCATTTACGGAAGTGTGGAAGATTTCAGGAGAGAGTTTGGGAGCGGTGGGGGGGACAAGCGGAGATGTTGAAGTGTTTGGAATTTTAATATTTGATGTGCTTATTTGATTCTAAGTAAAGGTAATCAGTAAGTAACTGAATATTCAAAATCTAGAGTTTGGGGAAATAACTGGAAATAGAATTATTAGAGTCATTGGTGCATGAAATATGGATGAGCCCCCCAGAGCCCTGCAGTTTGTGTATATTTGTTTTATGACTGTCCTGCTTGTATGTATGAATATAGCAGACCCAACTTTGGCTCTATGACATAGAGAGACGATGACAAACTATCTGCAGCCACGGCAGCTGGGAGTAGAGAAGATACACTGAAGCCATGGCCTCAGATAGTTTGCCATCTCCTCATTCCTTTGAAGAATCAGCTGCTATTGACTTCCTGTTCCCTGATTTCTGGCTCACTCCTGGTCTCTCAGCCTCATAAGATCCTAATACAAGCCTAGGTTGAAGTTCAGATTATCAAGAACTAGCAGTAACAAAGCCAGTAGTTCAGAAGGGCAGCGTAGCCTGAAAGTGTTGCTGCTTCCCATCCCTAACCTCCAGGTAATTGTGAGGACTTCTGCTTTTATTGAGTAACATAGAATGTAATCGGGAGGTTTTGAGCAGAGGGGAGACATCATCTTACGTAAGTGGGAAGGGTCACATTGCTGCAGTGAGGGAGGTTATTCTTCCAGCAATATCTCTAGCAAATCAAGTAGTTATCTGGTGGGGAGTAACTTCATTCCTAGACGTATGCCCTCACATTCATTAAATCTGTGGCCTTCAAAATATGCTGAATGACGAAAATGACTGGAACCCTAGTCACCCTGTAAAACTTTCTTTCCATGGAAAAATAAATACATTTTGAGATAATAGTCAAGCTTTCAAAATGTTATACGTTAATTAAATGTTAATATATTAAACTAAAAGTTAATTAAATCTCTGGTTTGTGTATTCCACAGAAATCTTTAGTATGCTAGTCCTAGGCTACATTTATGTGCAGAAGGCTTCACAAACACTGATATTTTATTGCATGACTTTCTCTGTGAATACTGTCTGTAAATATAAGAAATTCAGTAATAATTGTTATCTTTTCTTCTACCTGGCTAAGATAAATGTTCATGTTCTGCTGGAAATGTATGGAAGTAAAATTAACCAAAAGAGCATATGTGTTCCAGATGAAAGTGATAATATAGTAAATATTGTCTTTTATATTCCACAAATAGGAAGAGTAATTCTTCATCGAAAGCCATGACAATGAGTGAAAATGTGAGTATTTTTAAAGAATATTTATAGAATGAATGTGTTTAGGGAATAGGGCAGGGAAATGAAGTAATTATATGGACTTTGTGAATTTTCACATTTGGTACACTTTGCACTAGTGTCTATCACTGGCATTTAAAAGGAGCTAAGTAAATATTAGTTTCCTTACCCTGTCTGGGATGGCATGATAGAGATACCTGGCATTTCCAGTTGCAGAAGTGATATTTAATCATTTCATTGTTTCATGGTATTTTCTATATAGTCTTCCTTGTTAGCATCACTAGTTATCAGCTCTCTTTGAAAGATGAGTAAATTAAAACACAGGTTCTTACAGGATAACAGTGGTGGAGCTGGGACCCAGGTCCTTTTCTTCCCTGTAGTTTGACCAAGCAGAGTGTTTCCAGCGGATTTGTGATTCTAGGACTCGCCTTTGGTTCTGTGAAGCACTTGGAAAATTTTAGGGCTAGGCAATGTCTTAGTCATTTGGGCTGCTATAACAAAATTATCACACACTGGGAAATTTACAAACAACAACTTTATTTTCAGTTTTGGAGGCGGGGAAGTCCACAGCCAAGGTGCCAGTAGATTCAGTGTCTAGTGAGAGCCTCTTCCTCATAGATGGAGCCTTCCTGCTGTGTCCTCACATAGTAGCAGGGGCAAAGCAAGCACCCTCTGGCCTCTTTTATAAGAGCACTAGTTCCATTCATGAAGGTTCTCCCCTCATCACCTAATCACCTCCTGAAGGCCCACCTCTTTTTTTTTTTTTATTTAATGAAGTTTTTTTTTTTTTTTTTAAGACGGGGTTTCACCATGTTGGTCAGGCTGGTCTTGAACTCCTGACCTCAGGTGATCCACCCGCCTTGGCCTCCAAAGTGTTTGGATTACAGGCGTGAGCCACCACGCCCGGCCACGGCCCCACCTCTTAATATTACTGCATTAGGGATTAGGTTTCAACATGCGAATTCTGGGGGACACAAACACTCAGACCAGAACACAGACTATCCTCTGTTATAACTGAAAGGAACATTTCAGAAGTGTTTGAAAAGACATAGTAATTAACCAACTCAGAGGGTTTAAGGAACATCATTTAGACTTTTGGACCCTTTGTAAACATTACATTGACGCAGTAAATACCATCGTTGCTCAGATTTTGTATGAGCATTGGAAGGATATTCAGCCTTCTGGATGATTTTCTCAGGAATATAATGGGTTGGGCTGGGGGGAGTTCCTATGGTTTTAGAGGCCTAAGTCATTTCTTGAGAAACAAAGGATGGGTTCTCAGAAACACTTTACTCATCTACGGCAGGAATTCTCTCAGATTTCCTCTCAGTAGTCTGGGATGGTAGGGCAGGGAGCCTGGACATCAGTATTTTAAATGCTTAAGTGATTTTAATGGGTAGTAGTGTTTAACACTCACCCACTTTAAAAATTTGATTTTTAAAAATTACCTGTTTCAGAAACTACTACAAAAGCCACCTTATTTTATGGTTTACTACACTGAAAGCATACTGACATTTAATTAGGGGACAAGAAACTTCATTCCTACAATTTTTATTCCTACAATGTATGGAACGTCTTTGTTCCTTAAATTTAGGGAAAGTAATCTTAGAGTGTGGAACTGAATACTCCCATCCCTCCAAACAGTATAAGGCACCTTGAGGCTAAACTGAATGAACAAAAGCCATTCATTTTTTTCTTTGCCTTCCTCTCAGTTGCCCTTATCAGCTAAGAGCTAGAGTCCCCTTCAGTTCTCTTATGCCCTACCACAGGGTTTCTCATCCTCAGCACTACTGACATTTTGGGGCACAACATTCTTTGGTGTAAGGTGCTGTTCTATACATCATAGGCATCCTATGATGCCTGGCCTCCGACACTGGATTCCTGGAGCAACAGAACAGGCCTGGCCTCCAACACTAGATGCAGGGAGCATCTTCCTAACAGGATTTCTCTGGCTCTGCCTTCCAGTCTTACCTCTTTACTCTCTGAGCCAAGCTTCAGAGTACCTTGTCTGCTAGGAGTTAGTTCATTAGTTCATAAAACAGGTTTAATTAAACATATACTGGTTTGTACCTATAAAATTTTTATAACATAGCTTTATATTCATAAGATTATGTTTCTTTAAATGTGAATCAATATATTTATACTTCGTTTTTCTTTCTTTTCCTAGGATTTCAAGCACACAAAATCCTTTATAATTTAGACTCCACTTTTGAGATACACCAAAACCACGATTGTTACACAAGTTATTAAACTATTATAAAACTCTGCTTTGTCTGACATTTGCAAAGATGTACATGAGGAAGTGAAACTGGTATTTCATTATAATTCCTATGACTACTAACTCACCTGAACTTGTTAAACAAATAGTTCTGTCCACTTCTAATAGTCCACACCGCATCTTGTATCTGGACTAAGCTAAAAGAATCAAAATACTTCATAATATTCTGGGCTTTGGGTAATGTTAACCATGTCCTAACTTCTAGAGAATGCCACTAAAATATAACATACTGATGGTGAAGTTAATCCACAGATCATGAAAATATAAATCAGACTCTGCAGGAGAGTCTGATTTAGGGGGTCTAATAAATCTCTGACAGATGCAAAAGGAACCTCTGGTCTCATTTCTGCCAGAATCCTCTTCTCTCCCCCAATATCATTTTTATTTAGTATCATCATTATTCCGATGCTCATTCATCACTAACATGTCCCACAGACAGGAGGAAGTGGAATGGGTCTTAGGCCAAGGATTCGCACTTTGTGTTTACTTTCATTTCTGAGAACTAAAAGCAACATCGAAAGAAATCTTAAATGGCTGGAGCTCACAGGTGTGCACCATAGGATTTGCCTGGTGTGTGTCACTGAATTGTTCATTAATTCTGATGGTCAAACACAAACCCAAGTGGCTTATTTCACCCCAGTGCTGCTTGCCACTGCTTCCTTCTCCTAAGATTCCTTTGATCAGTGACCTTGGCATCAGAACTCTCCACTGGAGCCTACACTAGTTTGGAAATACCTTTCCCTGCATGAGTGGTGACTTCACATCTTTCTGTCTCTAAAAATTGTGCAGTGAAATTCCGGGCCGTCCCTTGCTCAGGGGTTGCCAATTCTGCTTTTGGACAAGGAGGGATGTGGAGGGAAGAAATGATTGTCTACAAGGAAAATGACATGAAAAAGCTCAGTGACTCCCTGCATCTGGCACCCATCTTGATGATACATAGTGGGCACACGAGAAATGGCTCAAATGAAAAGTGGGGCTAATGGTGGTTTCTCAACTGCTTAACCACAGAAGCCTCCAGCCACTATTACAATGTAAAAACTCCAATGATCCATTTATCAGAGCAATTAGGCTGCGTTAAAAATACTGAATTGATACTGAAAACAAAATATGGCCAAGGCATGTCCTGTTCTTCTGAGCAAATCTGGATAAAAACATCACTTGCTACCTTTGACAACTGTGAACATGGTTAACCTTCTTTCAAAAGAGTTCACTCTCTCTACCCAATCGGCAAAGCAAAGCCCCAGGATTCACCCAACAAAGGGATTCAGCATCTAACAAATGGATTAGGCACTGAATGCCTAGCATGTGCCTGGACACCAGGCCACTGGGAAGATGTCTGTGACTCTGATGCCCTTTGACTTGTCTGTGACATTCTATGTCTCTCACCAGATCCCTTCCTGGAGGTTGGGCTTTTGTAACATGGCTCTGCCCCCAGAATCAAATTTTCACAAGTCAGGGAATGGCAAACATTTTCTGCACAGAGACAGAAAGTAGATATTTTAAGTCATAAGGTCCCTGTTAACAACTACTTGACTCTGCCATTGTAGCACAAAGGCAGCCATAGACAAAATAAGCAAATGGTCATATGTCTGTGTTCCAATAAAACTTTATTTTCAAAAACAGCAGGCACAGACAAGATTTGGCCCACAGGCATAGATTCACAACTCGTCGTGATGAAGGACAGAAAAAAAACACCTGTCTACAAGCTTTTGTAAGAAATCAGGCTAAATGGTACCTACGTTTTAGTTGGAAGATTTTCTTTGGTTTGAGGAATCCTTTCCTTTCATTGGCATGCCAAAAGGATAGACAACTCTGAAAGACACCTCTTCAGACATACCTGTCATCACACAAGATCAACTTCCGGTTTAAATGACACAAATCCATATTGTGGGGGAAAAATATGTAGTGCCTTAGCTTCACTAACAGCTGAAAAACTTATTTTTAAGACCTCAAAGGCTAGAGGATTCATTGTATGCAGTGTGAACATCTAACACTCTCTTTGTGTCAAATATATACTGTAATAGCTAGGTTAAAAAGTCCTGTATAAAGAATGCTTTCTCCCACACAAAGGGCACAGTATTGAGCACTAATTTCCTAATTATTAAAAGTATATATATCTATATCTCTCTATATATATATCTGTGGGTCACTGGTGTCCAGACTTGTATTTCCATTTGCGTTTACTTGAGAAACTTGAATCCTAACAATTGGTAAAATCCCATTGTAATTCTGAAAGCATTTTGACTTTTATTTTCCTGCAGTGAATTGCGTTGTATAAGATTAGGGCTTTAGAATCTTTATTAGCAAGCTTTGTTTTGTTTACATTATTATTGTTGCTATTGTAACTAGATTTAATTTCTTTTTAGTTGGGGGTTTGAGCTAAATAAATCTGGACTGATTGATTGTTTTTCAATACAACTTTGCAAAGAGCTTCCTTCGTCCACAGGTGGCTTTGTTTGATTAAAGTCTACCCTGATAAAAACAGCTGAACTTGTTAAACTTTTTAGCCCCATATAACAGTGCAGGAAAGAGTCATCCAACGATTGTTATTCAAAAAACCCAGGAAACTATATCCTCTTCTTACCTTCTGTAGCTACAAGGCTGGCTCTCATTAGCTGCTTAAAATTAGAATCTCATCATCTCTGTTTGGATGGCTGCCAACTTCCCAAATGCTGAGCAAAATGCTCTGAAAACTAAAAGGAAAACCTATTTATTGAACACTTCATATATGTCAGCGGTGGGGATGGATGGGGATGAGGATGAGGATGTATAAAATCTCATTCGTCTCAACAATGCTATAAAGTGGGTAAGGTCATCAATTTGCAGATGAGGCAACAGACTGAGTTAATGACTTGCCTAGTTCACGAGCTGAGAAGTGAGGAATCAGGATCTGTGGGGACCCAGATCGATCAGTCTGATCCAGGATGTTTCATTCACCATGTTTTTCTCTACCCCTAGAATTACTTCCTTTTAAATTCCCTGTTACTGTTGTTGAGATGGAGTTTTGCTCTGTCACCGAGGTTGGAGTGCAGTGGCGCGATCACAGCTCACTGCAGCTTTGACTTCCCAGGCTGAAGTGATTCCCCCAGCTCCGCCTCCCTAAAAAAGAGGTGGAACCACAGGTGTGTGCCACCATGCCCAGCTAATTATTACTTTATTATATTTTATTTCTGTAGAGCAGCATCTTGCTGTGTTGCCAGGCTAGTCTCAAACTCCTGGGCTCAAACACTCTTCCCTCTTCAGCCTCGGAAACATGCTGGGCATGAGCCCAATCCTTTTAAATACTTGTGTTCTGCTGTCACATGTTCCCTTCATCCTCAGTTATCTCTGGTGGCTCCATGGCCTTCCTAGTCTCACAGCCAGGCAAAATACCTTTTGTCATGCCTTCCCCCCAACCCGGTCTAAATATCACGGTGGACCATTTCATTATCATCCACTCTCCTCTCATTCTCCAAAGATGCCCAATCTCTAATATTATTTTGGAAAATATTGAGGCTAACAAGGTCGAATGCATTTAAATCCTATGACTACCACCGCCCCTTCCTATCTCTAAAGCTCTCCATCTTTAACCTCCCATTTATTCATTGACTACATCATTCATTGTCTTGATTCTTTAATCACTACTTTTATCCTTTTATCTCAGGCTTTACTACTATCTCAACTTTTGTCTCCTGGGAACTTCCACCCTCAAGTACCTCTTAGTTAGTTTCGAACTCTCCAGTTCCAAAGGCTCCTTTCCCCTTCAAATCTCTTCTTCCCCCCAACCCATCTGTCAGTTGGCCCCATTTCTCTCGAACAATGTCAACTCCCTTCTCCCTTCCCCTGGCTAACAGGTTTTCTCTCTTCCTTTTTTTTTTTTTTGAGACGGAGTTTCGCTCTTGTTACCCAGGCTGGAGTGCAATGGCGCGATCTCGGCTCACCGCAACCTCCGCCTCCTGGGTTCAGGCAATTCTCCTGCCTCAGCCTCCTGAGTAGCTGGGACTACAGGCACGCGCCACCATGCCCAGCTAATTTTTTGTAGTTTTAGTAGAGACGGGGTTTCACCATGTTGACCAGGATGGTCTCGATCTCTTGACCTCGTGATCCACCCGCCTCGGCCTCCCAAAGTGCCGGGATTACAGGCTTGAGCCACAGCGCCCGGCCTTCTCTCTTCCTTTACCTAGTCTATCACAACATCCAAATTCCTCAGCCTGGAATTCAAGGTTTCCCACAAACATATCCCATCATATTGTCACAGCCTACCTGTTCAGCTACATCTTCTACTAATTTTTTTGGTTGCCTTATGCACCCATCAAACTGATCCATGTTCATTTTATCTTAACCCATTTCCCCTTCTCTTCTCTACATAGACTTAACAATACCCCATCCGCCTGGAATGCTAATTCTCCTAACCACAAGACTTGTATTCTATTTACCCTTTAAGAAACAGGTCAAATTCTATCCCGTCTAGGACAGCCTTCTCTCATTTCCCCTGCTGGAAAAGGTTTCTTGTCTGCACTTACATAACCCTTGATTTACTTACTGGTTTCTATCTCATAACAGGGATGAATATATCTGACATTCCTACCAATCTGGAAGCATTTTCAGGAAAAAACCATGTTTTACACAACTTTATAAACCCCAAAGAATTTAACAGCATCTAACATGTAGTTGGTATTTAGTAAGTGATTAATTTTTAAAAACTGAAAGAACACTTGCCAAAGAGCAAATTTAGTAATTATAAAATGTCCCCATAAATTTAGTTAGAATATTAATAAACAATTATATTATGAAATATGTAATATGTTATCTAATATGTGAAGTCACAAAATTGTTCCATGAATGAAGGCTGGATGGAAACTATTTTTCTCATACCATAGTCTTTTAGCAATTAGACATGAACTTCCACGCAGTTCTTAGGAAGTTCTTCAAATATTTTTCCAACTTTCAAATTTTAAAGTTTAATTTTCCATCTTTTGTTTTTGGAACACTTTAGTGTTAACTGGTTAA